GAGAGAGAGAGAGAGAGAGAGAGAGAGAGAGAGAGAGAGAGAGAGAGAGAGATGATTGTGTCATGCCAGAAACCAAACAGGATGCCACTTACACTGAACACTGGCACTGCCCGTCCAGGCGAAGGGGTCCAACCCGGGAAAGAAGGGGCTCGCCTTCCGCAGCATGCACGCACCACGGCTGGTGACATCATAGAGCTGACGGGGGCCCATGCCCAGAGCTTCCATACAGTCAAACATGGTACCCCCTCCCACCCTTAGCATCAATCTGAACGAGTTCTCAGTCCTGCCTGCGTACCGTCCCGGTGCCACTGCTCACGTCACTCTCCGAGGCAGCGACAACAACACGGCAAGCAACAGCTATCCTTCCTTCCCTCTCTTCACTGACTTGTCTTTTTTCTCGCTGTCACTCTGCGCTGTGCTTTTCCTGCAGATGCAGAGTTTTCTCACCCCCCCTCCCTCTCTCTTTCCGTCTCGGCTGGAATGCAGATCTGGTTCCTGCCTGGCCGGGGCTAAGCTGAGCGTGACTCGGGCTCTCTGGGCTTTTTTTTTTTTTTTGACCGTCTCTCCTGGGTGAGCGGCTCCCCTGACTGCTGTAACAGACCTAAATAACAGCCTCTCACGCTTCTCACTGAGCCCCAGACACGGCGGAGCGAACCAACAGCCTGGGCAAGACGCTCTGAGAGGGGCGGGGAGGAGAGAGTCGCACAGAATGCCAGAGGAGGCGGGATAAAGAGTGGAGCCTAGGGGGCGGTGGGATGGAGAGAGAGAGAGAGAGAGAGAGAGAGAGAGAGAGAGAGGAGAGGTGGCCTAGCAGAGGCTGCATGGGGAGGACAAAACTTTATTCTTATTCTTTTGTGCGTGTGTGTTTTGTTTGTGCTGCTTTCATCTTTTTTTTTTTTTCATTACAGCCCCAAATGCAAACAAACACAAACATGCCTCCTCACCATCTCCCATTCAGATCTGCCTTCTCTGTCTCTGGACGACACCTCCCCCAGTTCTTTCTGCAGTAAATAGGAGCCCCTTTCTCCTCCCTCCTCTGCGCCTCCCGTCTCTAATCATAACCATATTAAAAGTCCAGCCACTGGCTCGCTGTGTACGTGTGTCAGAAACAGAAAGAGAGCGAGAGAGAGAAAAGAACATTGTGATGTGTTCAAACCCAGAAACCAGATGCCTGGGTAAGATCTCTCCCTCCTCTCCGTCTTGCTCGAGGGAACAGAGGACGGCGCAGTGCTTTCTAACCTTCCCTCTGGAAGTGCTTTAACAGTGATGAATGAGGGCTGCCTTGCTCAATCCCCGCAGTGCATTTACACAGACAAATACCTCCGATACACAAACACACCATGTGCTAGACACACTCCTCACAGGTTCACTTGACCTTGTTTGTGATTTATAACTGCCAGGGCTTTGCACGGGGATGCAACGATGCAGGTGAAAGAAGASWRTGCAAGTCATGACTGTTAGGCAGCTTGTGTTATTAGGATTCACAACACAATTCTAACCTCCGTATTGATAGAAACAATTCAATTTAGAAAATAGTGGCGCCTGCACTGTGGCAGTAAATCAAGGGGAATCAATAGGCAGTCTGCGGTCAATAAAACAGCCCATCACTGGTTCTAACTGTTGCTCAGCAGACAGATACAGACTGGGCTAAAGCAAACAGCTGGATACAATGGGAGATATAATATGGCTTGAGTATGCGAGCTGTGCACATTCATTTCCCCTCACCCCTGTCAAACCAATACTAGTGGTACAGCCCAGCAGGCAAAAAAGACAGCATTTCCTGTCAATCTGTGCTGCTGGCTACACTTATCATAAACACAAAGTGCCCTCCTCCTCCTCCGTCTATAACGCTTCATTCTTTTTCCTGCTCGGTGAAAGAAAATCACGCTTTTCTTTCTTGTTTTTTTTTTTGCCGCTTCTTTTGAATGACTTTCATTACAGTGTTTATTGACCTAAAAYCTACCCCTCTGCTCGAGACGTTTGGGTTTATTTTTTCAAGCTGAAACACACAGGCACGTGCGGTCAACCCCAAGCTGTGGGGGCGCAGCGCTCGCTCGCGCACAATCACGCCAACAGACGCACGTTTAATAGCTCTTTTGTTCCATCAAACGGTAAACAGCATCGGCAGTTTTTATGTGTTTCTTCATACAGCTGTCAGGTCATAAAGTGAGGCTTTACGGCGGCAAAGAAAAAGTGCGCCGAGATTAGATGAGAAACTGTGATCCATCAGCGTTGCTACCACTAAGTGTGCAACGATGAAAGTGACTATTTCTGCATGATATTTTTTAAAGAATGTTCTCCTTTGAGGACGCATTTTAGGTCAAATCATTGTTGCCTGAAGTCACGATTTTATGATCCATTTGCGTTCTTCTCACACTCGTAATTTGTCTCCTTCCTGTCAAATTTTTTTTTTTCCCTCTCGCTGCTAGTTTCATGCAGCATCCTGGAAACTAAAAACTGGCCTAATCCCCCTGGTGCTCAAATGGTCTATGTAACATTAGTGCTGTTTACCATGGCCGTTCTGTGAGCTGACGGGCTGCAACACAATCATTTTAGACCATGCGCTCACACTTTAGTATTTGGGAGATTTATGGAGACTTGCTGATTCCTGCCAATTTTTTTTTACAYTTCTTTTTACTGCATTTGAGGCTATAACTCAGACCAATAACCCCATCGGTTCTCCTCTTATTGGCAACCAGCGAGTCTTGGAGGACTCTGCTAAGTTTGAGTTCAGGCATCTAATCTACACATACTCTATACCGCTGCTGCTGACCCAGGTTGCCTCCCCCTCCCTTTCCTCCCCTTCCTTCCCCAGCCAGAGAGGCTGAACTCTAGAAGAAACCCCCACAGGGCCACTAACTCCCCCCCCCCACCCCAAACTTATCCTGTTGCCCTCCTTCCTTCGCTCCCTGACTGACTCACACGTCTCTCCATCTCTTTCCTCAATACTTTTTTCTCCTCCCCTTGTTTCTGCGAATAATATCCATTTCACCAAGTTCCCATTGACTTTTTTATTTCCCCCTAACTGTGTGATTTGTTTTGTAGACAACGTCTTCTGTATTTGTTTTGGAAATATTTCCTTGGCTGAAAAAGAGCTGGTCATTCTGTGTCGACGTGTATTTTTAATTGCAGKGTACAGCACGTGTTCTGTACGTTTCGATGTCGGCACGATACTACAGCAGTGACAAAGGTTTCTTCACAAACCAGTGACTTTCACGTTTGTGTCAGTTGTGTGCAGAAGTGTGGTTATCTTCCTGTGGCAGGGTGATGCATGATGATGCAGGAAGTGTTTTTTGGCTGAAAACTTTGACGGCTGATCTCATTTTTCTCTGTAAGCGTTTCACAATATGTAGAAGTGGAGCTGTTGATGAGTCTTAATTAATACTGCCTTTGTGATGCTATCAGTGTTTGAGTGAGGAAGTGTGGTTGGGTTGTATAAACGTAGACATCGAATCTGTTTAATCTTAGGCTGAACGCTGGCAATGAAGAGCACAGATGTTCACGCAATCATAGCCCTCAGTCTCAGATCTTAACACATTCATGTGTTTTCATTTCAACATGGTAGAAGTTAGAATAAAGTAATTTGTGCCCCTACATTTTTTTGAAAAAATAACTAATAAGTAAGAGTGACTAAACATAATTTGAACAGTTTACATCTTCAGCCAAAGAGCAGACAGAGAAGCTCCATCTGCTGGATCCAGTCGGCCATAATGCTACACGTGTGCTGTAGCCCAGGAAAATCCGGCTTTACTACTGTCTGACACCCTGATGCCAATTACAGATAAGACGTATACAACACATCGTTGTTACTTCCTTTGCACTCAGTCATTCAAGTTTCAGCCAAACTGCAAAAAAAGCAGTGTTGTGTGAGGTAATAAAAACGAGCCTGTGCTCTGAAAACCGCGTGGTGATTTTGAAAGGAATGCAGGACTTTATTTTGCTTTTCTTTTTTTTYCCCACCACTTTCTTTTACGTCTTTTTGATGTGGGCATGCATGCAGCGCGGACATGATGAAAGATGATGAAAACACAGAATAGCCTCCAGAATGGCCTCCAACTACTGTCAGATTTGGGTTCCAAAACCTAGGTTGTTGTTTAACAAATTGTATAAAAGAAAATGACAATGAAATATTAAAATTGTGTTTGGTTTTTGATCAAAAAAAGCTGTTCTCTTCCTTTTGTGTCTATATTCTTCCTCCCGCTGCTGGAGGAAGAAACATCTTATTAAGTCGCTAAAGGTTCTGATAGTATATTTCTCTGCCAGATACCCAGGCTATCACTGAGCAGAGATGCAGAGAAAATCAGGTGCTCCGTTTTTTTTCTTGGCAAACACATTTGCCTCTGTTCACATGCTGGTCCCACCGAAGGCCTAACAGAGCAACTTTTCAGAACGCTATCAACCTTGGCCATCTTTCAGAGAAGTCTTTTTTTTTACCCYGACTCTCTCTTCTATCTGCACCGTCAGGACATTCTACAACCCAAGTTTCTTGACAGATCTCACAGTTGTTTGGCCAAAAATACGAAACCCCCCATCTTGTTCTCACAGACTCGCCCTGGGCCTGTGTGCCCTCCCACGCCTATCCACCCTGTTTTCTCGCCATTGCGCGCTCTGTGTCTTGCACGTGTTCACAAAGGCCTAGTGGAAAACATACTCCTCCCATTTTAATAGTAGCCTCTTTATCTTCATCTGTCATCATGTCAAAGCTGCAGAGCACACGGCGGCCTCTCGTGCTCACCAGCAACCCTCGCTGATTTTTCAGACTCGAAGGCACGTAGACACACACACACACACACACACACACACACACACACACACACACACACACACACACACACNCACACACACACACACACACACACACACACACACACACACACACACACACACACACAAGGGTGCACGCAGACGTAACAGTAAACAAAGTTGCAAAAGGTCTCCAGAACTTGTGGCAAATTGGATCACACTTGCAGAGATGGGTAATGAGAGGAAATGCAAGGTTTGGGAAAAACAAAATGCAGATGAAAGRCAAAAAGAGCGAGGAAATCCACGAGTACACAAGCCCACGGGGGTCAGACAGATATCATGAGAGGAGCAAATATCCCACTTATCAGCATCACAAAAGCCTCCTCTGGAGGCTAAGAATGTCAGGACAAATAAAGTGAAACTTTCTTTCCATTTCGTCCAGTCTTTTGAATGTATCTGTCACACACTGAAATGTGAATCAGTCACAAAGCAGAAATATTCAGTTTGCTTAAGCATAAATCCTATTATTCATTTTGTGTTGATTTTATTATGTAACTCATATCATGCAGTTACAAGTGTGTAAAACAGCAACAAAATGGCAAAAAATATTTTAAAGTAAAATTACTTTTAAACCTTGGATATACAGTTGATTTAACAGCTTTACTTGACTGTTGTGTGTACCACCTCTGAGTTCTGGGACTGGCGAGGTGCAACTGGGACTTTTTTTTTTTTTACAATCAACTGTTACGAAACGATTCTATTGTTTTATGAAAAATCTGATGATAGAGTATTCTTCTGGGTATTTATTTTCATGCCCAGTAGCATAAAATTTAAATAATGGCATTTATGGACATGAGATGTTAGTTTTATTTATGTAAATTTCTCATTTTAACACAAGACTGGTTTAAAAGACGTGTGAAGTGTCTTTTAATTTTGTTTACAAATTGTCAGATTTTTTTT